CCACCACCACCACCACCCACCACCACCACTACCACCACCACCCACCACCACCACCACCACCACCCCCACCCCCACCCCCACCCCCACCCCCACCCCCACCCTCACCCCCACCCCCACCCCCACCACCCTCACCACCCCCAATAATAATAACGAAAAGGCAACAGCATCGAACAACATCAGGCTAACCATGGGGAAGCTTGAAGCAAAACCAGTAGCACTTCACTTCGAATCATTGCTGCAATAACATGCAGCAGCGGTATATAAGTATCGCACTATGAGGAGCAACGTCAGTAGAAACAATGGCAAGAACAGTAGAAGCAGCAGCAGAAGCAGCAGCGGTGTGGTAGGACCAGTCGCCAAGACCAAAAGTGGTTACGAAGATCAGCCTAGGAAATAGTGGGCCTACAAGGGCTTATACCCCAAACCCCAAACCCGAGGCCCCAAAACCCTAAACCTTCTTCGGATCGTGTTGCTTGGTGGTCTGCGCTGGCAGCCCCTCACGGCGGTGACGCCCAGGTAGGGATGCACGTACTTGGCCTGGCTAAAACTGTTCCGAACACAGCTGTAGTCAAAGTTTCTTAGCGCCATCAACTTCCTGAAAGCATATCATGCAGATGCGTCTCGTAGCTGCAATTCTGTAGTGAAACAACACGGCTGTGACATCTCAATATCAAGCTGCCACCGGTAGCGCACTATCTGGCCTCTTGCTGCATGGCTGAAAAGAGAACACACAAGGGAAGCGGATCTGCTGTGCGCTGCACCCACCCGTGATACCTTGCAACCTTTTCGAATCCGTCTTGGTGCTTCACGCCCTTGCCTGATCGAATCTGACTCAGCACCCTATTTATGTTGCTACTTGTGTTCCCGGAAGAATCCTAACTTGAGAAGGTGCTAAGCCCTAAACCCTAAACCTTAAATCCTCAACCCTGAACTGTTAAATACCTTAGGCCTTAGGCCCTGAACCCTTATACACCTTAAGCCCTGAAGCCTTGAAACCTTAAACCCTAAACTTTTAGCCTTGGGAGCATGAGAGGAACCTCGTCTCTCCACCCCTGCTCTCACAAGCTGCGAGCCGAGGCCACACTGCCGGCACTTTAGGGTTTTATGGTTTAGGGTTTAGGGTTTAAGGTTTAGGGTTTGGGGTTTTGTGGTTTAGGATTTAGGGATTTATGGCTTAGGGTTTAAGGTTTAGGGTTTATTGCTTGGGTTCAGGGATACGGTTTGGAGGTTTAGAGTTGGGGGGGGTTTTAGGGGTTAGGGTTGTCGCTTTAAGAGTCCAGAGTTTAATGTTCAACTTGTCCCGCTCCTCAAAGCTGGAAGGCTGGAGCCTAAAACCCGAAAGCCTCCGGGGTGCTAACAACAGCAGCCATTAGGGTAGCAAGAACGACAGGAAATGAACGAGCATGATGGGTTTAGGATTTAGGGTTTAGGGCTTCGGGTGTAGAGTTTAGGGTTCGGGTTTCCTGTGCTCTGCATTGCAGTTGTATCCGCGAGCCGCACTCGGCAGAGACTCTGAACAAACCCAGAACCCAGAACAGCTCCGCTGCCTCCTATCTCTTTCTAAATTGAGCCTGCCGTTTATGGGCACCTCAAGATTTTGAGACCTTGTGTTGGATACCATAGAGCTTGGGGTTTGAGGATAAAAGTCGCAGTCCAAAGCCAGACCGTCCCGTCCCAAATGCTCTTGCCCCACAAACTTAAACTCCGAAAACACACTCACCCACAAACTACCGGCAAATAACACCGACTACACACACAAAGAAGGGCAGCCGATGGTATTTGGGTTCAAGAACACAGGAACTCGGGCAGAGTGCTGCCGTCGCCAGCATTTTCTTTCAGCCCCGACCTTTTACACCCTTAACCTCAATGCCAATCCTCGAAAAGTTTAGGGCTTATAGCCCTACTGACCCTAAACCCAAAATCCTCAAACGTGAATACCAGACGCCCAGCCAGACCCTGACGCTGAACCCTAAATCCTGAATCACTCCTACATCAGCCTACCCTAAACCCTACAGCAGACCCTTATTTTTCAGGGCGACGAGCGCTCAAAAAGTAGCTTGGCCCCAAGGTGTAAATTTAAGACTCTGTACGAGCTTGGTCATGTGGGGCCTAGTTGCTATGGGTTATGGGACTGTCAACGAACAGGTTGGCAAGAGCACTCATGGTACCCATATAGCACGCTGTGAGTAAGGTAACACAAAAGGCCCCCCCATCCCGCCCAAACAGTTAAAAACCCTAACCTCTGAAGCCCTAAACCCCAATGCCCTCAACCCTAAGCCTAAACCCACCCACGATACCCTAAACCCTAAACCCCAACCCTAAACCCTAAACTCTAAGCCCCTAAACCTCTGAACCCTAAACCCTAAACCCAAAACCCCACCGAACCCCGAAGCCACTCCTGAGGCGTCGGTGAAGCGCAAGCGATCAGCTCTTGGCCTGACTGCATGTTCGCTTCCTTTAGAGTTTAGGGCCTTTATGGTTTAGGGTTGAGGGTTCAGGGTTCAGGGTTTAGGGCCTTTAGGCCTCAGGGCTTAGAGTTTGGTCATCGTTTTAAGGATTATGGTGTAGAGATGTTTAGAGTTTGCGGATGTACCTATAGGGTTTAGAGACAAGGGTTAGGATGAGGGTTTAGAGTCTTGGCTTCTTGCAGGCACTTCAAGCGTTTAGGCTTGTCTTCGAAGGATCTAGAAAGATGTAAAGGGTTCTTACACAGGTTCTGTTCGGGGGTTTAGTGGCTTAGGCTCTACAGGGATGTAAAGTTTTAAAAGGTTCTTGCACAGGTTCTGTTCGGGGGTGTAGTGGCTTAGGCTTCTCTGCGTTTTGGGGATCTTGCGGATCAAGCTTCGGGGAAAGGGAGTCGGAGGGCTGCAGGGGCTACAGGGGCTTGTTGGTTTAGGGTTTTAGGGTTTTAGGGTTTTAGGGGTTTGCGGTTTAGGGTTTTAGGGTTTTAGGGTTTAGGGGTTAGGGTTTTAGGGTTTAGGGTTTTAGGGTTTAGGGGTTTGGGGGTTGAGGTTGTAGGGCTTTGAGGCTTAAAAGGGGCTGCGGGCCTTTAGGGCCTCAGGGGCTTCACAGTGTGGGATTGGTGCTTCGGGGTGCCTGGGTGCTTAGAGCCTCGGGTTTTCTCCAGTTCATGCCCAGGGGTGGCTGATGGGTTTAGGGTTTAGGGGTTAGGGTTTCTTTAGGCTTTCAGGGTTAGGGTGGCCGATGGGTTTAGAGTTTAGGGTTTCTTTAGGTTTTCAGGGATAGGGTGGCCAATGGGTTTAGGGTTTAGGGTTCCTTGGGCTTTCAGGGTTAGGGTGGCTGATGATTTCGTACTCATATAGGGTCGAAGATCGGCACGTGCGGCTGACCGTGTACATCGACCTCGGGAAGCCACCAGCACTCGACTCCTCTCTTTCAGAGGCCCTGTCCCCAGCATACCGTAAACCCTAAACCCTAAACCTCAAACCGCAAACCCTAAACCCCTAAACCCTAAACCCTAAACCCCAAACCACAAACCCTAAACCCTAAACCCTAAACCCCAAACCACAAACCCTAAACCCCCAAGACCCCTAAACCCCAAACCCTAAACCCCAAAAACCCCTAAACCCGACTTTGAGCCCTCTTTCAGAGACCCTGAGGACCCCAGGAGTACCCCAAACCTCAACCCTAAGGCCTCTCAATCCAGAACCCGAGCCCTACTACAGAGGGTGATGGAAAACCTACACCCTACGGTTTAGGGTCTATGGGGTTTAGGGTCTATAGGGTTTAGGGTTTCGGGTCTATAGGGTTTAGGGTTTAGGGTCTATAGGGTTTAGGGTTTGTATAGGGTTTAGGGTTATACCCTTACTTTGAACAGTGTTCCCGAGTGACTTGACAATGCTGAAGGGCCCCGGCTCGGCGTCTTCTGCTCTGGGAAGGGCGGCAACGTGCGATGCACAGCTTGGCCTGAGAGCTATGCTGTCGGAGTCGGTCTTTGCCTATATAGTCTCCATTGCTGTTCTCTTTTTTGGGGTGAACCAAATTCATATTAAAGGACCCTAAGCATAAAAATGGTTAAACCAAAAAAAAAGGGAACTCTATACAATGGAGACTACAGACTATAATTAGGCGGTGTCGAAGATTGTCGTTAAGCCTACGGCTGACCCAGACTTGATACCACTGCACACAGCCACATCTGCGTATTGCAAGACCAGGGAGATGACAGAGACTTCCTCATGTAGGGGCCTAATAATTAGAATTGGGTTTGGGGGTATATTCTACCTGCTACAGTAACAATAAGCAACCCAAAAATAGTGTGGGCAATCAATGTAAGGCCGTATGACCGCATGTTACATCTCTGAGGCTGTCGTCCCGCTTAGAATTCGGAGGGTTGTCCCTGAAGTGCAGCCTCGCGGTATCCATTTTAACGGACCTTGAGCCCTTAAGGCTCCGGCTCGTGCATCCAGAGGACTGCTCGGTTCGACTATCGAGGCAAAACTCATTACGCGCAGCTGAGTTGGCACTCGACTCTGTGCAGGGTACATACGCGCTTGAAGCTGTCAGCCACCTGTCTACCTGCCTGCCTACCTCTACCTACCTACCTGCCT